GCCCCCCGTCCCGGCGGCCGTCCCCGAGCCGGCGCCCCCGCCGCCCGTGCCGCCCCGGCCCGTGCAGTGGTGGCAGAGGATCTCCCCCTGCGGCCCCTTCTTCCACATGGAGGACGACGTGGTCTTGCAGACGCTGCAGGTGGGCTTCAGGCCCAGAGGCATCGTGGCCGGCTCGGGCGGCCCCCGCGGGCGCAACGACACGGGAATGGCGACCGCCCGCCCTGGCCGCCCGCTGGTCGGCCCGCCACGCCCAGCGACAGGAAGAGCGGCGAGGCGCGGGCACCCAGATGCCCACGTAGGGACCAGGCTGCAGTCGCTGCCCCCTGGAGGCAGGATGCCTTTTGCGACCGCTCCGCGCTCCGCACCAGCCCAGGGCGGCCCGAGGCGCCGGAAGGCGGGGTTGGGGCGGGGCCTGGCCTGGGAGGGACGTGCGGCCACCGCCCTGAGGTGGCTTCCGGCGATGGGCGGGGCCCGCGCCGCGCTGGCCGGCCCGCCTGACCGGAAGTGCGCCCCCGGAATCGCTAGGAGCGTGCTGCGTGTTTGCTGCTGTCTTCTGGGTTGGGGGTTCCCACACTTTTTCGTCTTAGGCCTAGGGTAGGCAGGTGAAATGCAGGACGCCCTGTTAAACCTGAATTTCAGATAAGCAATGAGTAATTTTTTAATATGAGTGTATCCCATGCGACATTTATTGTTTATCTGAAATTCAAATTTAACTGGGCGTCCAGTATTTTTATTTGCTAAATCTGGCACTCCTACGCAAGATGCTGTTACAATTCTTAAAAATTATAATTTATACCCCTAAATACCTGTGTTTATATGGGTTATATCCGTGGACATTTATATTTTAGGAGTTGAAACAGACTTTGAAGCCTGAGTTGTCAAGCACACATTCATTAGCCGTTGGGTGATGATGTCATCGTACGTGTTGTAGCCTCTGAACAGTTGGCCAGTGAGAGAATAAGGGTGGAAAAGGCAAATAACTAGTTTGGCTTTGTTGGAAAACAGTTTTGCCCCTGAGGACCCCCAGAAAGGGTCTTGGGACCTCCCTGGACCACATTCGAGAACAGCTGGCCTAGGACAAGGGCATTATGAGAAGCCAGCTCCCCGCTACTAATGTCACTAGTCAGCACAGGCCTCATCGGGGACATGAGTCTCCTCAGCCTCACTTGGCAGAGCGGTGGTTGCCTACCTGTCTTCATGACCCTGGGTGTTCTGGGCTTGACGTCCATGGAGAGATCGCCATGAAAATGTTGGTGGTGTGCCAGGGGGAGAGGAAGAAGAAAAATGTATTGAAGGCCTATAATGTCACGAATTCTCGTTTGGTGCTTATGGCAGCCCTGGAACGAGATGATATGCCTATTTTGCTGTTAACTGATGATCAACGGAGGGACCGTGATTTGGCCTGGCTGCCGACATGGCCGCTGCTCTCTGCGGCACTTCTGACAAGCCTTCGGAGCAGCCTTGGAGCCTGAGCTGTGGTTCAGTCATCCTCGCTCTGAGTCTAGGTTTCCCCAATAGGAAAACAAAATAATATTAACTACTTTCCGGGACCGTTTTGGGGATTAAGACAAACTGTTTAAGTGGTTGAGGAGAACAGATAAAGAGTGTCTGTCGTCTCTTCATTCTAGAGCAATGCACTCTGAGGGGAATTTAGGTACTAAATTCCATGCTCCCTTAGGTATCTCTCCAGTCTAGTAATGTATACTTCTTTTTGTACCTCATCTCCAAATTACTCCTTCTCATTCACTGAGAACTTTGGCTCCAAGCTCACCAGCTTCCTCTCCACCACAGGACGCCTTCTTGGGTGGGGTCAGTATCCACGTGTATAACACCCAACACCCTGTTTTCTCCGTTCCTCCTCATCCCACCGATCTCCATCTCCTGTCCTTGACAGCTCCCACAACCCTTGGTCACACCGTCTGCCACTTTGAGATAATCAGAAAGAACTACATTTTTTTCCTTGTAAATTTTTTTTACAAACTTTAAAAATGATGTATAATACACATATTGTAAAGTATCCAACTTATTCATGTACAGCTTAAAGTAGCCACACTTAGGCAACCAAATCAAGAAAGAACCTTACTACCACAAAAACTCCCCTTTCGCCTTTTCTCCAGAGATAACCCCTATACTGACTTCTAACACCATAAACTGTAGATTCTCTTTGTCAGGTTAAGGAAGTTCCCTTTTATTGCTATTTTCATCACAAATGTGTAGAGTTTTATCAAATGATTTTCTCTACGAGATGACCATAATGCTTTTTCTTCTTTTTCTACGTGTGGATTACATGGATAGATTTCTGAATGTTAAATTAACATTGCAACTCCTGGAATGAATCCAGGTTGGTCGTGATGTACTGTCCTTTTCACATATTGCTGGATTTGGTTTACTAATATTTTAAGATTTTTGCATCTATGTTCATGAGTGAGATGGGCTTATAATTTTCCCCTCTTGTAAAATCTTTGTCAGGCTTTGGCATCAAGGTTATGTCAGCCAAAGTAAGGACTTTGGATTTTATTCTGAGTGAGACAGGAAACTATTCGAGGCTCTTCCGTGTGCTGATATAAAAAGATCTCAGATGTAATTAAGAAGAAAAAAAGCAATTCATAGAACAGTGTATAGAATATGATCACTTTGTGTAAATTTAAAAGCTAGGTGTGTGTGATGAGCACTTTTTTTGGTTGTTTGGACAAAAACTGTTGACAATTGATGCTAACAGAAGTGGTGAGGAAGGGAGACTTTCATTTTTCATTTTGTACCCTTTTGTATTGTTTGACAATTTTTCACCAATCATGTGTTACTTTTATTTAAAAAAAAAAACAGAAGAAGAAGAAGTAATCAAATGGAAGAGAAGGAAATACAGGCAGTTTTTTTGGCCCTGAAAATCCTCTCCCAACTGGAGGTCGTAGTGCACAGAGGACAGTACCGAGTTCAAGGACTGGCAACTGGACCTCCTCACTGCAACACAGCTCCTTATCTGTAAAGCGAGGATGGTAGTGCCCGCCTCAGGGGTGTGTGAAGATTTGATCAGTTGTTGTGCTTGGCACATATTTCTTAGTGAATAAGTGGGGCTTCTACTCCAAGCAGCAAAACTATAGTATCATAAAACTCCTGTGCGGATGTACCGCAGTGTTAACAGAGCAGGGTGCTGTGAGTGCAAATAGGACTGCTACGCGGGGAAGGTGACAGGGGGTCAAATCAGGAGGTGAGGGAAATGGGTAGGAGACAAGAACGCAGAATGGCACTGTCAGTGAAGGCTGCCACCCAACTGGTGCCTCAGGCAGAGCATGAGCCCCACTTGGCCAGGCCAGGGCTCTGTGAGGTGCCAGGGGAGAGATCTCAGACTGAAACGAGGAGATAGCCAGCCTGGATGCTAGGGAAGGGTTCAACTGGAGCATGTAGAGACAATTTGGTACCTATGGGGATATCTAAGAAAATTCTGCCTGTGGGGTGTGTGTGTGTGTGTGTGTGTGTGTGTGTGTGTGTGTGTGTGTGTGTGAGAAAGAGAGCAAGAGAAGGTAGAGCTGTGAAGACAGAAATAAATACCTCCTGAGGTCTTAAAATTAACACTAAGGGAAAGAAATAAAGCCCAGTTCCTCAGGGGCTTATCAGGGTCAGCATGAAGTCTATTTAATTTGCGTGATTTACGTGTTGCATGGTTCGTTAATTAAAACTCTTAAAAAAAAAGCAGGTGCATAAGATATATCACAGGCTGGTTTCAAAGAGATACTGTTCACCACGTTTTGTGTCTTGGTGAGTACGGGCAGTGGAGGATTCCCTGACCTCCAGTACCCTTGTTCTGTATAGCTCAGGGACATGCTCCCTGTCAAATGAGGGTAGCGAGAGAATATACCTCACAGGATTGATGGGAGGATTCGGTGAGTTTGTAAGGATTCATGTGAGGTTGTAAACAGCTTTTATGTCTGGTAAGTGCCTGATTAATGTCCACTCTGAGGCTGGTAAGAAAGGAGGAGGAGGAAGAAGCATTGCTTTTGACCAGACTGGTTAAGTCATTAGTTATACCCCCCTGACATGTAATCTCAGAACAAATGTAATTAACTTATGTTGCCTATTAACATTAACGAACTAGGGAGAGAGACTGTGGACTGGACAGAGAATGAGTGAGACCTATGAAAGAGGGGAGAGGCAGGGCAGACATTCTTGCTGACCAAAATTTTCCATTTGTATCCTCAGGAGGGGCATCACGATATCTCTGTCTCCCACTGCACTCAGACCTTCTATGTTATAAGCTCATGGAACTACTTTCTGTTTTGTGTGTGCCCCATGGTTCCCACCCCTTGGCTCAGGGTATTCTCTTTGCCTGGAATATGCTTCCTCCCAACATTTCACAGTGGACCCTACCCATCTTTCCAGAATCGGCTCAGGCATCACTTCCTCCAGGAAGCCTCTGTGCCAGAAGTCACATCTCCTTTCTCCAACTCCCTAACTCTAAATAGCTGTTCCCTGCTATGGTTCCTCCCTCCTTCTACCTCAGGGCACACCTTTGTACCCCTGTCTCCTCCACTGAACTAGGAACATGTTGAGGAAAGGAAGTTTGCCATTTTTGTCTCTGTATTTCTTCTACTTCTCCGTGCCTTGTACACAGTAGGCACGCATTAATTAGCAGTTTAATGAGTGTGTTAATATATCACTCGACCTTTTCTCAGCAACGATCTCCATTCGGGACAAGTGTCTTCTCCCATTTCCCTCTCGCTTTCCCCCCCACTTTGTCATCTGACTTCTCTCACCAAGCAGGCTGAATCGGGCCTCCCTGGCTCCTCATTGGCCTGCAGCCCGGGGCAGGCATCTCTCTGTACCAAGAGGGCACCAATGTCATCATCCACCAGAAAAACCAACGCATGCTTTATCATAAACAAGTGTTACTTATTTGAAATAATTGTGCAGGGTCCCTGGTGGAGCTTTGTAAGCATCTTCCTCCTGCTTGGGAGACGGTGATGACATGGTGGGGAGGACACCATGTCCTCCAGAAGCCTTTTGCTAAGGCTTCAGGACACTCCCCGACATGGAATCGGTTTTGGAGATTCAGGAGATTCAGTCTCAGGCCTCCCTGAGGCTCAGCACAGAGCACATTGGCCGTGACCCTCTGGCCACTAGGAGGCTCGGCAGATGGACTTGACGCAGAGCCCCTCTCCTAGGCAGTGCGGTCCCCAGCCCACCCCATGCTCCAACTGCCACTCCCCTAACTGTCTCTCAGAACTTTGCTTCTCAGTGCCAGCGCCTGCCTGTCCTTTGGATGGCTGCTGGCTTAGGAGCTGGGGAAGCTTTTGGAGGACCAGGTGATTTTTGAGGACAAGCCTCATTTTGTGATTCAGGCACCAGCCAACTGTAGTTTCATGAGGAAAACTCAGCTGCCTTTGATTTTTGGTTGGTTTCTTTTTGGTTTTGAGTGCTTTGAAAATTTTGCTGCCTCTCTTCCTTCTCATTTGCAGGACGGCTGGGCAAGAAACCAACTTGGTTATTTGAGCGTCTTTTAGTGCTTCTCTGCTGTGTGTGAAGACTGCTTTCCTCAGAGGAGCTCCAGATTTTACCAAAAAGAGAAATATTTCTTTTTCTCTTCAAAATGTAAATATCTTTTTTTGTATAAATAGTAAATGCTCATTATAAAAATTCATACAATTCAGAGTGTATTCCCCAACTCTGCTGTGTTAGAGATAACCATATTAACAGTTTGTAGGGTATCTCTTCAGTCTCTGGAAACGTGTGTATGTATGAAATATTAGTGTGGTCTTACTAAATATTACTCTCTAATCTGACTTTTTTTATTCAGAAGTGTATTGGAGTGGACTTACCACATCAATCCATATATATCTGCCTTTCCGTGCCAAAATTAATTTAATCATTCCCCTGATGTTGGGTATTTAGCTTGTTTAAAATTTTTTGTGGTTACAATGAATGATGTAATGAGTTTTCTTATACATGTATCGTTGCCTATTTGTGTGGGTATTTTTATGGGATAAATTCCTAAAAATGTAACTGTTAGATCTAAAGTCATGCACATTTTGAATTTTGATAGATGCTGCCAATTACTCACCAAAAATTGTTGACACACTTGCTAAATCTCATGAGGTTGTCTCAGGGCTGACTTAGCCACTGGGTACATTGCCTAGGACCCACAATAGTTTTAGGATTCATGAAAATATTTTAACTTCTTTTAAAATGAGGAAAAAAAATGATTAGAATAATAATGAATATATAATATACAATGAATCCAGCCTGCATTATATTTTTTACACCAATGAAGCCATAAAATACACGAGTCCATGTGGCCCTGAGTTACCCATTTCTCCACACCCTTGCAACTCTGGGAAATATCTTCTCAGTTTTTACCAGTCTTTTATGCAAAAAAAAAAAAAAAAAAAAGACATTTCATGATTGTTTTTACTTGCACTTCTTTGGTTATTTGTGAGGTATCATCTCCTAAGTGTATTGACCATTTAAATTTCCTTTGTGAATTGCGTATTTATGTTCTTTTCTCATCTTTCTATTGAGATGCCCATCTTTTCCTTGTTAAAAAGTTCTTTGTACAGTCTAGTAAATATTGCAAACTTTATTTTCACAATTTTGTGTTTCAGATTTATTGGTATCTTTTTGTAACAATATTTAAAGTGTTCCCTACTCCAAATCTGTCAAGCATTTCTTTTATGGTAGCATCCTTACAAAGGCTCTACACAAATATTCATTGATATTTTGTTATAGAATATCTATCAGTATTATTAATTATGATAATATCTTTAATTCATCTGGAATGCATTTTTGTAAAAGATGTGAAATAGCAATTAAACTTTGTTTGTCAAGCATAGCTAATTCCAACACCATGGACCAATAATTTGAAATGCCATTTTTATCAAATATTAAATTCTTATATATACATGAGTCTATTTCTTGAATCTCCTCCATCCCATTGATCTGTTTATCTATTTCCATGCTAACACCACACTTTTAATTATACAGCTTTATGACATTTTGATTTCTAAGGTAAATCACTACTCGTCCTGCCATAATCCTTCTCTTTCAATTTTTTTCTTGATTATCCTCACATATTTACTCTTTCTGATGAACTTTAGAGTTACATTTTTAAGTACTAAAAAAATCCCGATGAATTTTGTAAAATTTAGAGATTGATTTGAGGAGAAAGAACATCTTTATAAAATGTAGTCTGCCTCTCTGAGAGCCTGGGATTTTGTTCACGCCCTCTGTTTACACCATTCCCCGGTGGTCTTCAGTCTGTCTAAGCCCTTGCCATCTCAGCAATCTCCTGCTCAAACTCCCCCATGGCTCTCTGTGTGGGACAGGAAGCCAGCAGCAGGGGCTTGCCCAAGTCTTCAGGTCCCCATGAGGTTAATGGGGGCCTTTTCCTTTGCCATTTTTGGTCCGTTTAGTACTGGTTTTCTAAGAACTGTGTTCGCTGCAAAGCACTGTGGCAAAGCCCACCATAATCTCTTATCTGGATTTCTCGTTTCTGCTTCCGCTTTTGCTTACTCTGGCCCATTCTCCACGCTGTGCCTAGTCAGATCCTCAAGGTCCCCTGCTGGAAAACCTTCAGTGATTCCCCATTGTATTAGTTATTTATTGCTGCTGTAACAAATTACTACAAACGTAATGCCTTAAAACAACACAAATTTATTATTTTACCGTCCTGGAAGTTGGAAGTCCAAAATCCTGTTTACTGTGCTAAAATCAAGGTGTCAGCAGGCCTGTGTTCCTTTCTGGAGGCTCTGAGGGAGGATACATTTCCTTGCCTTTTCCAACTTCTAGAGGCCACCTGCATTCCTTTGCTCAGGGCTCCTTCCTCCATCTTCAAAGGCAGCAACTGATCACTCTGACCTCTGCTTCTGTTATCACATCTCTTTCTCTGATTCTCATCCTCCTGCCTCTCTCTGAAGTATGATCATAAGGACCCTTGTGATTTGATTGGGCCCATCCAGATAATCCAGGGTCATCTTCCCACCTCAGAGTCCTTAACTTAATCACACCTGGAACGTTCCTTTAGCCATGTAAGGTAACATATTCACAGGTTCTAGGGATTAGGAGGAGGATATCTTTAGGGGACCATTATTCTGCCTACCACAGCCATGGCCTTCAGGATGAACTTGGATTTCCAGCCCCTCAGTGACCTGCCTCCACTTTCCCTCTGTCTAACCTCATTCTATTCTCCCCTTCAAACTCCCTGCTCCAACCACATGAATTTCTTTCAGTTTCTGGAACCTGCCCTCTCTGTGTTCTTCATCCAGTGCTGGTCTAGGCTGATTCCTCTGCCTGGAAAAACCTTTCCCCACCTCTTCACTTGACCAGCTCCTACTCATCTTCCAGTCTGGGCTTAAACCTCACCTTCTTGCTTTTGGCAACCTCTTCTACTCCCTGTATCTTCTTCCAGACTTCATTAAGGGCGCTTGTATCATCCTCCATTGTTCCTGGCCCTGCTTATATTGCCTTTTATGTTATTGATAGTTTGATTATCTTCTCTTTCAAAATGTAAGCTCTTTGAGGGCAGAGGTGATGAGAACAGCTCCACACCTGGCACATAAGAGGGAACTTATTAACTCCTTGCCGAATGAATTTATAAACATATTAATTTCATAATGGAATGCAAGTTATTTTACTCTATAGGCTTCATCTTAAAAGTATTTGTTCATCATTCATTCAACAAATATTTATTAAGCACTGATTTGGTAAGTACTGAACCAAGGGAGTTAAAATTAAGAAAAAATCATCTAAATGTTACGAGCATCCTAAGGTTGTAGTGGTGCGATCATAAGGACCTGAATAACAGTTCTCCCCCTCCAGGAAAATGGACTTGGAGATCAGTGAGCCAATAGACTTTAGTTCTGGAGATCATCAACATCTGGTCCGGAAAGCAGCAGATAATAACATCCAGACCAAATCTGGTCGCTCCTACACAGCTTCACCTTCATCTGGGCGACCAAAATCTCATGGGAATCCACACTCAAAGGCTAGTGGGCGATCGGATACCTATGTGGTACAGATTTCAGACGAGGTCACCCCAGACGACAGCAATACTGTAACCGATCCGTTCTCAGAAACATCTGTCCGCAGAGGTGAGAATAAAGAAATTACCTTTTTGGAAGAGAAAAGCAAATGTTCTCTTAAAATGTTTCCACAGACTGGATTGTCAGAAAGATTTAATTTGCTTTTAGCTTTTCCCAGTCACACTCTACCATGAAACATGATGCAAGGTTGCTATATAATAAATGGCCCTCAAGTTGCCCAGGGCGTTCAGAAATTGGTACTAAACATATTATGGTGAATAACTTGTGGTTTTCTTAGGAAATATGAATTAGTCATTGATTGATTGTAGAATGTTCTTACCTACATACAAGGTGATACCATAATATTGGCTTAAGTTTTAAAGAATATTAATTCAATAGCCTAGATGTTAATTCTGTATAGGAAATATATTCAGCTGTAACAGAAACCTAAAAAACTGTGGCTTAAATAAATGAGAAGTTTTTTATTCTTTCATGAAATATGAAGTTCGAAGGTAGGCCGTTCAAGGCAAATGCCGCAGGTCCCCGGTGACCACTCTGCCACCCTTAGGCCTTCTTAGGGCCTAGACAACTTGAGAGAGACTGTAAGCTTTGAATCCCATTGCTATCTCCCCGTGGCCCTCATCCTCCAGCTTGTGGCTGGAAAGATGCCTTTTGAAGTTCTAAGCTTCCAGCAAGGAAAAGGCAAAGGCAAAGACAGGCCAAGGCCGGTTTGCTGCCCTGACAACTCCAGGGGGCATCATTCACGGATAGATGTCCTAAGAATCAGCCAAACCTGACCTTTTTTCAGAGGCTTTCCCAGAAACTAAACCCAAGAGTTTCCAATTATATGCCATTGACCCTACCTGGATCATGTGGCCACCTCTATTTGTAGTTTTCACTTGGGTCCATTGCCACCTCTAACAAGATCTAGATTGGATGGTGAGGAAGCTGGGTAGAATGGATGTCACTAAGCAACTAGCCACCTCCACCGCAGGTGCCAAGCCTTCGTCACCGGGTGTCGTGCAAGGGGAACGTTATTGCATTTAGTCCTTACAGCAACCCTATAAATGAAGTAGTGGTAGTGTCATTTTACAGATGAGGAAATGAGGCTTAAGCGGTTATATTTGAAAACTTATGTAAAGCCTCCTCACCACTGTTAGAGTTAGTTATTTTATCTGCCTCTCTTGGATCGCAGAGGCTAGGCCCTCCCCATTTAAAAAATTCTATACTTAAAAAAAATTATGTAGTACATATAAAGATAAAAGTGCTATAGAGGGCCGGCCCCGTGGCTTAGCGGTTAAGTGCACGCGCTCTGCTACTGGCGGCCCAGGTTCGGATCCCGGGTGCGCACCGACGTGCGGCTTCTCCGGCCATGCTGAGGCCGCATCCCACATGCAGCGGCTAGAGGGGTGTGCAACTATGGCATACAACTGTCTACTGGGGTTTTGGGGGGAAAAAAAAAGGAGGAGGATTGGCAATGGATGTTGGCTCGGAGCCGGTCTTCCTCAGCAAGAAGAAGAGGATTAGCATGGATGTTAGCTCAGGGATGATCTTCCTCACAAAAAAATAAATAAATAAATAAAATGCTATAGAAAAAAAGGAAAAGTATAGCAGAATAATGGATTAAGAGTTGCAGGGCTAGAAGGCTACAATTTTTTAAAGCAGCTTTATGGAGATATAATTTACGTATTGTAAACTTCACTCCTTTTCAAGTGTACAATTCAATGGTTTTTAGTATATTTACAGAGTTGTGCAACCATTACTGCTAAAAGAAACTCATACCCTTTAGCAGGCTACTCCCTATCCCCTCCTCCCCACAGCCTCTGCCAACCACTAATCTACTTTCTGTCTCTATGGATTTGCCTATTCTGAATATTTCATATAAATGAAATCCTACAATATGTGGTCTTCTGTGATTGCCTTCTTTCACTTAGCTTAATGTTTTCAAGGTTACCCATGTTGTAGCATGTGTCAGTACTTGATTCCTTCTTATGGCTGTATAGTATTCCATTGCTTGGATAGAACACAGTTTGTTTATCCATTCATCAGTTGACAGACATTTGGATTGTTTCTACTTTTTGGTTATTATGAATAATGCTGTGATCAACATTCATATATGAGCCTTTGTGTAGACATATGTCTTCATTTCTTTTGGGTAAATACTTAGGAATTGCTGAGCCAAATGGTAAACTCTATGTTTAACATTTTGAGGAACTGCCAAACTTTTCGAAAGTGGCTGCACCATTTTACATTCCAAACAACAAAGTATGAGGGTTCCTGTTTCTCCACATCCTAATCAACACTTGTTATTGTCTGTCTGTTTTATTATAGCCATTGTAGTGTCTGTGAATGGATATCTCCTTGTAGTTTTGATTTACATTTCCCTAATGACTAATGTTGTTGAGCATCTTTTCACATGCTTATTGGCCATTTGCATATCTTCTTTGGAGAAATGTCTATTCAAATCCTTTGCTCACTTTTTAGAAAATAACAACCATTTTGTTATCTCTCATGATGCTGTGGGTTGACTGGGCTCAGCTGGGCACTTCTTGTGCTGTCTTGATTGGGGGCTCTCACGCACTTATAATCAGATGGCGGCTGAGGCTGCAGTGGACATTAAGACTTCCTGACATGGCTGGCAGTTGGTGTTGGTTGTTGGCTCTCTTCTTGTGGCTTGAGCTTCTCATCACATGGCAGCTGGGTCCCAAGAAGAAATATACCAGGTGGACAAGCCCTGATGTGCAAGTGGTTTATCAAGCCTCTGCTTTCAGCACACATGCTAATGTCTCACTGGCCAACAGAAGTCATGTGGCCAAGCCCAGCGTCAATGTGGGAGGGCACTACACAAGCTTTGCCCATTTTTAATTGTTATTTGTCTTCTTGTTATTGAATTGTAAGAGTTCTTTAGGTATTCTAGATACAAGTCCCTTATCAGATATATGATTTGCAAATATTTTCTCCCAGTTTGTGTGATTTTTTTCACTTTCTTGATGGTGTCATTTGAAGCACAAAGCTTTAACTTTTGATAAAATCCAATTTATCTGTTTTTTTTTTTTTTTTGCTGTGTTTTAGGTGTCATGTCTAAAAAATCATTGCCTAATCCATGCTCACAAAGATTTACACCTATGCTTTCTTCCCAGAGTTTTATTTCTTATGTTTATGTCTATGATCCATTTTAAACTAATTAATTAATTTTTGTGTACGTGTGACATGAAGAAGGGGTCCAAATTCATCCTTTTGTATGTGTATGTCCGGTTGTCCCAGCACCATTTGTTGAAAAGACTATTCTTTCTCCACCGAATTGTTCTAGCACGTTTGTTAAAAATCAATTGACCATAAATGTAAGGGGTTATTTCTGGGCCCTCAGTTCTACTCCATTGATTTCCTATATGTCTAGTCTTATGAGGTTGGGCCACATTTAATATTTATTCCCTCACAGTCCCTGATACATAGTAGATGTGAAATTAATGTTAGCTAAATGAATATTTCAACGTAGGCAGCAGACATTTGGGTACACATGTTTTGGTATTTTGATTAAGATAGCTCAGTCCCATTTCTTTGCTGTCACACTTCCTATGCACAGAAACAGCTTAGCAAAAGGACATAGTTGATGGTTCTGTAAGTCAGCTTTAAGCAGCATTATTTCTTTTTTTCCCTTCTAAAATTGGGATAAAGCTACAAAAAAGTAAACTATCATTACCAGCACCGTGTTCAGCAGGCCTCAGGAAAACCCGTGCAGTAGGAAGTAAGCAAAAAGAGATGCCAACATACTCTGCACTCTGCTTCGGCATGCCATTTACCTGGAACTCCTTAGTCTTATAATTTGTCAGGTTATCTAGTTTGTGCACAAGTAGAAGGGAAGGGACTTGCTAAAGGCAGGTAGGCTGGAGAGCAAAGTGGTGGAAAAGCTCTGTGAACTCCCTACAGCCCAAGTCCATCCCCCAGAGGAGTAAACGCCCTCTCTGCCAGCAGTCCCTGAGGCATCGCTGTTCTCCATTCTATGCAGGGGTGTAACTGGCTCCCTAATGATGGGCCTGCGAGACTTTCAGATCACTTTCGGTCCTAAGGAGGACGGGGTGTGCATAGTAAATAATTAAATCCCTGAGTTTGTCCTTCCATGGATAAACCCTCAGATCGCCAACAAAACACCTCTAACAATCCGGACTGAGTATTTTCCAGAAGTTCTGCAGAGCTGTATTTTTGTTGTTATCCCATTTGCTGACTCTAAACTAGCACTCTCTTTCCCATCCTCAAAAAATCCGAGGAAAAATTTCTTTCGTTAAGTATCAACAATAGGTAATTACATTTATATTTTTATTTTTGAATATTGTGTCATAAAAATAATGTTTCTGTCTCCTCAGCTTTCATTGTAAAAGTGTTCCTCATCCTGTCAGCTCAGTTGATAGTCACTGGGGCGATTACCAGCATGTTTCTTTTCTGGTAAGTCTTTATTACTGATGTAAATTAAATATTAAGTTGTTCACATTAATTCTTATTGAATCAGGTCTATTTAATTTTGATCTTTAAAAAACTATCTATTTTTTTCTTAATCACTCATAGGATATGATATTTCTGTAGCTTTGTTTTTCTGAGGCAACTCCTAGACTAAGGTGTTGTTAGATTTCTAGTTTTACTTCAACTTCCTAAATCAAGAATTTATTTTCTTACTCTTATTTTGGGCACTATTTTCTTTTTTATTTTCCCTGAGCTATTTCCACAGATAAAACTGGATAAAGGAAAAAAGGTGAGATTATAGAGTCCTTGGAGGCTGGAACACTGTGAAATGCAGAAATTATTTCAGGGACTATAATCCGTCACTGCTTAAACCCATCCTATGAAAATCTATATTTACAAAACAAATATATGAGAAGTTGATTTCTTTTGCTTTGCACACATATCAATCTCAGTATTTTTTTTAAAAAGAAACTTCACTAGGACATTTGCATTTATCCAAATTTGACTCACCACTTATTATGACTGTATCTTTTTAGGAATCTATTTTAAGAAGCAAGCGATAGCTATATGTTTCACTGTTTCATTCCCCATCTGTCATTGTCAATCATTAGGATTTCTCGCTTTCTTCTCATGAGATTGTTTTACTTCTACTTAAATATTACATTCATTAGCAAAATAAACTACTTATTGTGTAAAACTATATTAATTTTTTTTTTAATCAGGAAGGCTTTAAAAGTTTGGGTGCTCAAGAATCCCTGGTTCACCTATGCAATCTTGTAAGTATTATTGGATATAATAAAAAATGGTTTTTCTACTAGCTATTGATTTTCTTTAACTATTTAAAATTAGGTATAATATTCTTGAAATGACAACATTTTAGAAAGAGAAATTTTAGAGATAGAAAACAAGCCAGTGTGTGTGTTTTACCGTAAAGGGACGGCACGAAGGAGATCTTTATTGATGCTTTAATGATGGGATAGTTCCAAATCTTGATTGTGGTGCTGGTTACATGTATCTACACATAGATTTGTGTCACAGTTCTATGACGTAGCATTATATATACACGCTGTACATGTCAAGTTACTGGTTTGCTATTATACTATAAATATGTAAGATGTAACCATTGGGGGAAACTAAGTAAAAAGTACACGGGGCCTCTCTGTCCCTTCCAACTTCCTGTGAATCTACAATTATTTCAAAATAAAAATTAAAAAAAAGAACCCACAAGCTGTCTGTGGATGGCAATGAGAAAACTTAGTTTTAAAAGCTAAAATAAAATAAAAGGGCTGGCTTGGTGGCATAGTGGTTAAGTTTGTGCACTCCTCTTCAGTGGCCCGGTGTTCACAGGTTCAGATCCTGGGCGTGGACCTATGCACCGCCCATCAAGCCATGCTGTGGCAGCGTCCCATGTATAAAGTAGAGGAAGATGGGCACAATGTTAGCCCAGGGCCAATCTTCCTCAGGAAAAAGAGGAGGATTGGCAACAGACATTAGCTTAGGGCTAATCTTCCTCACCAAAAAATATATATATATAATAATAAGGTAAAAGTAATCTATATTTTTGTTTACTTTTCAATACTTATTACCAGATAATATCATATAATGATATATATCTCTATCTTTATCTATCTACCTATATCAGATGCTATCATCACTGGAAGCAAATAACACATGGTTTTAAATTATCCTCAGGCCAGTATTTTTTGTTGTACTTATTGTACTTGCTTGCTGTGGGAATGTCCGCCGTCGGGTGCCTGCAAATTACATTCTCCTGGGATTATTTGTAAGTAAACTCTGTTAGCACCCATTGTAGCTCACCTCTGAAATATATTTTTGTCACACTATTAAATCCATTCCTTTTATTCTGGAGAATGTTCTTGTGGAATAGTACAGATAGAAATTATTTATGAGACGTTCTCTTGGCTGAATTCTAGTTGTAATGAAGTTATAAACTTAATTATGAGATAGTATCCACACCCTTTTAATAAGCTAGAGAATGTGGGGACCCTGGGCTACTCTTTTGTGCCCACAAGCTTGCCCCTGAGAGGCCACATGGGGGAACCCCCTCCCGAGTGTGGGCTACATTTCAGGAACAGTTAACCTGACTGTCGCTGGCCTCTGTCAGACACAACAAACACATTTTGTTATGGACAGTGTGTCCTCATTTAGTTCACAAACTCTTGTGCAAGAAATGCAATTTTCTTTATTTTTGTAAAATGTATTTCATTTCTATTTCAAGTCTCACTGGGAGCAGAAGCCATCTCACCTCAGATTCTGCCCATTTCCTTGCCCTGCATCTCAGTTCAGTTTTCCAGCACCAGAGAGTTGGGGACTGGGGGGCTTCTGGTCCTTGGCTCTGGTCATTTATGGGTGATCTGGTTCCTGGCTGCCAACCTCCTTGTGGGGCTTCCACTCACAAGGCCTCACCACATGAGCTCTTTCTTTGTGGATCAGTGCCGCTCTGGGCCACAGAAAACTGTGTCGCTCCCTTTCTTACAGCAACTTCCTTTCTGGGGCGCCCCCAGGGGCTCCAGAATCTCGCCAGCTCTCAGCAAGTACCTGGAGCTCCTAGATTTTTAAAACCCGAATAGAATCTGAATTTTTATCATTTTACCCCTATCCCGACCCAGGGCTTAGCTCCCTGGAAGGTCACAGGGCTCTCCTCAGGAACGCAGTAACATGGAAGAATCATTACCCCTCTCCCTGACTCTTCTTTCCGCTTCCCAGTCAGGCCAAACCTCTTGCCTCCTGGAGCCAGTGGTGTCTCTGAAACTCTCTGATAGTAAGCGTTTGCTCCTCTTGGGAAAATCCAGAACAGTCTCAGTGTACACTGATGCAGCGTGTCGGCAAATGATTCTCTCTGGGAGAGTTTGCGTTTCCTCCCAAGCGCTGTTGACCACCCTTCCAAGTGAAGATTTACTTACCAATTGATTTATTCCTCATCTGGTTCCATATCAGATTTGAGGTAGCTTATAAAAATACCCACAATATAAGGAGATAAGATAAATTGGTGGGGAAATCTGATGGAAGAAAAAATAAGGGTAGGAAAATAAAGCCAGTGGTTGATGAGCGCACAAAATGCGTAGTCCTATGCTTGAGGGTGATGAGCCTAGATTTGGATCTGCGCCTCCTGGTGGTCAAAGCGAGTAAGAACGCCTGGCCAGTGATGAGATTCTCAGCATCCATACCGCGGAGCGTCTGGTGTGATTTATATGCTGGGAAGACCAGCTTCCTCCTGAGGCTCTCTGATGCCCACATTTGGGCATTTCCTCAGCTTCCAGAGCATTGAGGGGCCTTCCTTAGTTGGCATGGATATCCTGCTCATTGCCTAGGTGAGCAAGTGGGGTCTCCCAGTTCCTGTACTGACAGCATGGTCAACACTCAGGAGGGGCGGGGGCTAAAAGCCAGACAGAGGAAGATACTGGGAATCCTGGAGCAGTGGCAATGGGGCGGGGGTGTTTGTGGGGGGGTATTTTTTCCAGAAAATTTTGAATTTTTTAAATTAAAATTTTCAGTCGTTTTAAAGTTTATTACAAAAAGAGATCAAATTTATTGGTCTCAAAGGAAACTTTCATCTCCGAGGTTTTACTCTTTATCCCAAAGCAGGTAACAGCTTAAGAGAAGAAATATTATAGAGGGGCCAAGAATTATTTATATTTGTTAGACTTTACATCTTGGCCAAGTGTTAGGAAATATATGGAGAAAACCATTTCAGAAAAGGAGTTGAGGGAAAAAATGAAAACACTCACACACTGAAGACAGATTTTTGTCCCATAGAATTTTGGCCCCTTGAGCCCATGTTATGAGCTCTTGAAGCCATCAGGCAGGTGTGACTTCGAAGGCCTCTTGTTACTCCTTTCCTACTCTTCGGAAAACTGAAGGGTGGTTTCCAGCTTGAAATCATCCCTTCTCCTTCTCCCTCCCATCCCCCTTCCTCATTCTCTCTCTCTCTCTCTCTCTCTCTCTCTCACACACACACACACACACACACACACACACACACGCACACACTTCTTTCATGTGCTGCTGAAGGTAGAGAAATATGATGCAAATATAATGCAATTGAGCAAGTAGAAGAAGAAAATTAATCTTGAGAGGAGGGTCAGAAGCAAGCACGTTATTAAAATGTCGTGTGTACGTGAAAATCTATTCCTTTTTTTTTTTTTTAAACCTATAATGGAAATAAAACCAGCTTACTTTGGTAAGTTTAACAAAATAGAGAATCAGGCAATTCCCCACTGGGTTTGGGAAATCCAGAGAGGCAAGCCAGCACTCTCGGGACTCCAGTTCTTTTCCAGTCTCTGATCCGATTGTCTCCGACTGTAGGTCATTGGCCGGCTGCAGAAGTTCAAAGTCCCTCTAGCAGTCCTAGCACTGCGGTTAGGATGTGTCCTCATTGTTCCTCCTTGAGACTGGAGGATTCTTCCCTGGCTCTTGCCGTGGACCAGCGGGTCAGCCGAGTCTCTGGATTTGCCTCTGATGGAGTGTCATACCAGCTGGGAAATGTCCTCAGGCCCTGCAGCCACTGCTCACTGTAGCTCTCACGGGGCCTGCCCACTGTCCTGGAGCCTGACTGTGGGCCTGGGCACATCCTCGCTACCTTTTTTGGTCTCATCCTCCAGCTTGCCTGCCTGCTGGCTCTCGGCCACTGCCTTTCTCCCACACCACCCCATCCCTGGCTCCCTTTGGACCATGGGAAACCTCCAGCCCCAGTACAGCCCCAGTGCAGCCCTCTTCCGAGCCCTGGATTGGCCCCTACAGGCGCAGCTCCACGGTCTGTAGGTAAATGCCCTCCAGCCTCATCCTCTGGTCCTGAGACGGTCTCAGTCCTCATCCCACATCTGAGGTTTGAAGTATTTTGTTCTCACCCAAGCACTATGGGAAAGGACGGGACTGCAACTGTTGGTGAAGCGTTAGTAGGAATAGCGTATCCTGCTCTGATAAAATGTTATTCTGTGTGGATGGCCCCATTTGATTAATGGCAATACGGTCTACAGATAAACTTTTCCGTTGGTTTCCACGTTCCTAATTAATACATGTTTAATTCACTAAATATGTTGAAAGTTACCATTGTGTTCTAAGAAATTTTTACCAATAAAGAATTTTCTCTTGTAAGTCTCGGGGAGAATGTTAAGGAAATGTTTCATTCTCCTATTTATTTCCCATAATCAATCTCCCTGTTGCTTTGTGCCCTGGGGTTGTGCATATTCCCACTTGCTCCCTAGACCCTGTGAAAACGCACACATTCAAATCATCTCCTCTGGATTCTGGGCCTCAGGAATCAGGCTTCTGATTTCTTGTGAATTTTGTTTTTAGACAGTTCTTCAAGGTCTGCTGCTGGGAGCCGTATCAGTGTAAGTCTTTGATACACATTCCTCTTTTTGCATGTGCTTTTCTTTGAATGTATGTGAACAATAATCACAGTCTCTGGTTTTAGTTTCTATAGTGCTGATGAGGTGCTATGGGCAACGGCAGCAACCGCTCTGGTGACCTTATCACTCACTATATTTGCTCTTCAAACCAAAGTACGTATTATTGAAACAGACTTCTGATTCCCACACATACAGGATTGTGTGGATATGTTCCTTTGCCCCTCCTGACCCATTCTCCTCCCTCCTCCCTCCTGCTCTCTGCTGTCCTGTGGGCCTCACCTCCATGGCTCCTCACTTTCTAGCTTCTGGCTTTTCCTAGTAACCATGTTAAAAAAGTAAAAAGAAACAGGTGAAATTAATTTTAATAATATATTTTATTTAACCCAATATATGGGAAGTGTTATCATTTCAACATGTAATCAATATAACAAAAATATTAATGAGATACTTTACATTTTTTCAAACTAAAATTCAAATCCAGTGCATATTTTATACTTATAGCACATGTCAATTCCAACTAGCCACATTTCAAGTGCTCAGTAGCCTCATGTATTGAATGCACAGCTCTAGACAAAGTTTTTTAGCAGTGCCTGCAGGGCTTGTTAAAACAGATTGCTGGCTCCACCCTGGAGTTGCTGCTTCAGAAGTTCTGGGCCCAGTAATCTGCATTTCCCCAGTGATCTGCATTTCCCAAATCTGCATCCCAATCTGATGCTGCTGATCTGTGAGCCACACTTGGCCAACTGGTACTTTAGATTATTCTCTGGGAGTGTTAAGGGTAGGGAGTGAGGGGGGAAATAGAGGAATTAGGAAAATGCCTGTGCAAGAAAATATCTTAAATTCAAAGCTCTTCTTTTGCTGCATAATCCAAATTTTCTGAGGCCGGAAGATGAATAATCCCCTTTCTTTAAAAAATCCTAATCTCCCCCATGCTGATTTTGTCATTGATTTATAAAGCAAAACCCAAAAGCATATTAATAAATTTAAAAATTACAAAAGAATCATTAACTAATTTTGGAAAGCTTAGTATATATATTTTTATTAAAATATATGAATACAAACATGAAAAAGGTACCCAGTTAACATCTGGGTCTATTTCACTCCACCTATGTATTCTTTTGCACATGCATCTTTTGCACATGCACATTCTCTAATGTACATGCTTTTAAAAATACGAATAACTGGGGCTGGCCTGGTGGCATAGTGGTTAAGTTTGCACCCTCCGCTTCAGTGGCCCAAGGTTCGCAGGTTTGGATCCTGGCGTGGACCTACACCCTGCTCATCAAGCCATGCTGTGGCGGTGTTCCATATAAGGTAGAAGGGGATTGGCAACAGATGTTAGCTCAGAGCCAATCTTCCTCACACACACACACACAAGTATGAATAATTATGATGATACTATACATACAAATTTACATCCTATGTATTTAAGGTGCCTTTTGTATTAGAGGATCTTTCATATAAATATAAAAATAGAATAGTATAATAAACCCCCATTTACTGATTACCCAGTTTCAAAAATTATCAATTCGTGACTCTTAGTATTTCATCCATACTCCTACCCTCTTCTCTGTCCTGAAGCAAGTCCAGTCAATACAACACTTTTTTTTGTGTGTGTGAGGAGGACTAGCCCTGAGCTAACATCTGATGCCAATCCTCCCCTTTTTTCTTGAGGAAGATTGGCCCTGAGCTAACATCCGTGGCCATCTTCCTCTACGTTATATGGGACGCCGCCACAGCATGCCCTAACAAGCGGTGTATCAGTGCGCGCCCGGGATCCAAATCTTCGAACCCAGGGCTGCCGCTGCGGAGTGCGCGCACTCAACTGCTTGTGCCACCAAGCCAGCCCCTACAACACTTTTTATGTAGCATTTTTCAGTGGTTGGGGCCAATGGAGTTCCATCGTTTTCAGAATTGGCCAGGATAAATTATTAGCAAATGGGCCAGTTTCTGTCTATGGGGTGTAAGAAGTATCTCTAAACATCCTGAAATTCCTTAAAGTTGATAACTGAGTTGTTTTTGTGTGTTTCTGTTTCTTCAGTGGGATTTCACCTTGCTAAATGGAGTGCTGTTCGTTTTACTCCTCGTACTTATTGTCTATGGAATTCTCTTACTCTTCATACGGTCATATGTAAGTGGGGTCTCATTTGGAAACCTCAGGGAATTGTGAGACATACAGGGTGAAGTGCTGGTTGTGTTAGTCTGGATCCTCTGAGAAGCAGACACTGAGATGGGTGAAGCATGAGGACTTTAATGGAGAGATGTCTGTGAGAGAAGCAGGGGTGACAAGGCTGGAAGAGCTGTCAGACCAGACAGCATGTCTGACCCCAAGTGAAGGAGAGGGAAGGAAGGTCAAGTGGAAGTATTCTAGACATGGTGCTTTCTAAGGGAAGTTCAGCAAGGCCATCAGGGAGCCCTTGAGCTAAAGTCAACTGTCACAGAAGTCCCATGTCTCCTAGGAAGTGCCCTGCTGCTCCCACCAGTGCCTGAGAAGGGGAAGTGTGGCCCAGGAGTAAACTGCAGTGGGTTGCACAGCACAGCCACCAGGGCTCTTGGTCAGTTACACTCTCCTCCTGGTAGCTGGAAGTCTGTGAGGCCCGTGCTCGTGGCCGCCTGGGGTGGTGTGGTTGGGGGTACCATGGACAGGAGGTCTGGGGCATGAAGATTGAGCTCCTACCCTAGACTACAGCTGTCCTTCCCTAAGAGGGTCTTGGGGGAACCTACCCACAGGGCAGGTCAGATTCCTTCTGCTCTACATGTGTGCTGCTTTTCTGAAGTAACAGGAATGGAGAGATGGGCTTGTTCAGACTTTTCCAACAGTAGCCTAGAGGAGGCTCCTTCCAGCTTTTTTTCTTTTTCTTTTTTTGTTTTGCTTTACTATATTCATTGACTTCTTACTAGATCAGACATAGGCTTATGTGTTTTTCACATAGGCATAACATTTAATTCTCATAACATTCCTGAAAAACACATATCTCATCTGTTTTATAGATAAGAAAACAGGCTCAGAGAAATTAAATAATTCATCCAAGTTCACACAGGGAGTAAGTGGTAGGGGCAGGATCCAGGCCAGATCTGGGTGACTCCAGTGCCCATGCTCTTTCCACCACCGGGCACCGTCTCTGGACTGAGGCTGCAGGGGTGTGGAGAGGTAGAGGCACAGCATCTGGCCCCGTGGTCTGGCTGTGACTGGCTCCTGTGTGGACACCCTACTGGAGGCCAGGTCCACTGAGGACTCCTGGAGCCTGTGACCATTTGACTAAAGCCCCAAGGCCAGCTTGGTCCAAATGCTGAATCAAAGAGTTTCTTTGGCAATGAGTGGACTTGTTAAATGATCTTCAGACATATAACCAACAGTTCTGCCTGAATTGCTAAAGAAACAGCATCTATATTTTAGAGATAAACCCAAAGACGTGACAAAGATATGCCTTAAAGGCCAGAGCTCTCCATTTATTATTATTGATGGAGGCACAGATATTGGTAGTAATAGTACAAATATTTATTAGGTGGGTTCCATAGGTCTTTACAATACCACTTAGGTACAGTTAAGAAACTGTTTCCTACCAGATATATGAACTCCATTCTAAATTTTCTTTCACAAATATCTGCAATATATAATCTTACACATGTGTTTAAATGGAAAACTTTGACAGAACGTTGTCCTAAGTATAGAGGCTTGTTTGACTTGGGCAATTTTGAGTTCTTTAGACTCCAAGAATCAGATGTTTTCCTACTATTAGCTCAGTCTGGAAATACTGTGCCTCCCAGACCATGTCACTGACTCCTGATTTCCCTCCTTCACCAAGAACCTTCCCTGGTTAGCAGAGTGCCCTGCCCATCCCTCTAGGACCAGCTTTCTCCTCCTGAAGAGTGAATGCCATTATTTTTCTCAGGTGTTCTACACCTCTTCCTCATGTGCTCCCCATATAGAGCCAAACCCTTTGACTCTTAGACCAGTCCCATATTCTGATCCGGGCTGTTTTGGTTGCAAGGAACAGATACTGCTCGGACTAGGTTGAGGCAAAGACCCAGAGAATCTCATGGAACCCCTAGGTGGGAAGAAGACCCAAGATTCACAGAAATGGAAACCCGCCTTCCTATCTTGGGTTGAGTTGATTGGCCACCTCTGTTTGTACAGTAATAGCTCCAGCATTAGCTAATGACTCAACAGCCTCTGCTGCTTGGATCCCTCTATCCCAAGAATTGATTTCTGACTGGCCTGGCACATCTGTTTGATCCTGGTCACATATAAGAGGTTCCTGGTCAGTTAAGAGATTTGCTGCTGTTGGAGGGGATGTCTTCTACCTCTTGTCAATCAGCTATAGCAAGGGGGTGTGAGGGTCACTATGTTCCCAGAGCTACCTGTTCCAAGGGCTGAGGGTAGGGCAAATTCTCCATAAGGGCTATGTGGATGGGACAAAAAGTGAAACATATCTACGAGTACATTCTACTTGCCCTACCATGCATGAGATGTTTAGCACTTACTTGATGAACCTTATTTGGCATATGCAAGGCTAGTTTTCATTTGCTCGCTGAATGGAATTGATGGATGCTGTTGACTGATTATGTTCAAAAAGGAGGAATTTCTCCACAGATTTGACTTTATTAATATTGGGTCCTTATCGAACAGCAGTGAACTAAGTGAGCCCTTTTGTTATTTCAAATTTTGTTCTTAATATACAATTGTTTCCTTTCTTTGCAGTGGTTGCATCTATTGTATGCTGGACTTGGAACTGTGATCTTCTCACTTGTAAGTCCATTTCTCCCTCCCCTTGGCAAAGGGTATGTAGATGCATTGACAGCGCCCCCTAGGCCCTTGTGCTAGGCCTGCAGTCAAGTAGAGTCAGTAATTCACTGGAAACCCCTTCCAGGTGACTTGCTCCTCTTCCCCCTTCTTCTTTTTTTTATAAAGACACTTTTTTAGGGCACTTTTTAAAATTCACAGCAAAATCAAGAGGAAGGTTACAGAGATTTCCCATATACCCCCTGCCCCCACACATGTATGGCCTCTCCCATTATCAACATCACTCACTAGAATGGCACATTTGTTACCAAGGATGAACCTACATTGACATGTCATAATCACCTAAAGTCCATAGTTTACATTAGGGTTCACTCTTGGTGTTGTACATTCTTTGTGTTTGAATAAATGTATAATAACATGAAACCATCATTATAATATCATACAGAGTATTTTCACTGCTCTAAAAATCCTCTGTGCTCTGCCTGTTGATCCCTCCTGTGCCCCCAACTCCTGGCCCATTGATCTTTTTACTGTTTGTAAGTTTTGCCTTTTCCAGAATGTCATATAGTTGGAATAATACAGTACATAGTCTTTTCAGATTGGCTTCTTTTACTTAGTAATATGCACTTAAGCTTCCTCCATGTCTTTTTGTTGCTTGATAGCTTATTTCTTTTTAGTGCTGAATAATATTCCGTTGTCTCCATGTACCACAGTTTATGTATCCATCCACCTACTGAAGGGCATCTTTTTTGCTCCCAAGTTTTGGCAGTTAGGAATAAAGCTGCTATAAATACCCATGTGCAGGTTTTTGTGTGGATATAAGTTTTCACTCATTTGGGTAAATACTAAGGAGCGTGATTGCTGGATCATATGGTAAAAGTATATTTATTTTTGTAAGAAACTGCTCAACCATCTTCCAAAGTATCTGTACCATTTTGCATTCCCACCAGCAATGACTGAGAGTTCCTGTTGCTCCATATCCTTGCCAGCATTTGGTGTTGTCAGTATTCCAGATTTTGGCCACTCTAGTAGGTGTGTAGTGGTATCTTATTGTTATTTTAATTTGCATTTCCCTCATGACATATGATGGAGAGTATCTATTAATGTGCTTATTTGCTATCTATGTATCTTTGGTGAGGTGTTTGTTAAGTTCTTTGGCTCATTTTTTAATTGGGTTGTTTTTTTTTTATTGTTGAGTTTTAAGAGTTTGTTGTATATTTTGGATAACAGTCCTTTATCAGATGTGTCTTTTGCAAATATTTTCTCCCAGTCTGTGGCTTATCTTCTCGTTCTCTTGACGTTGTCAAGAATTTTTTAATTTTAATGAAGTCCAGGTTACCCATTATTTATTTCATGGATGGTACCTTTGTTGTCGTATCTAAAAAGTCATTGCCATATCCAAGGTCATCTAGGTCATCTCCTAATGTTATCTTCTAGGATTTTTATAGTTTTGTGTTTTATATTTAAGTCAATTATCCACTTTAATTTTTGTGAAGGGTGTAAGATCTGTGTCTCTCTTTTTTTTTTTTTTTGGTGAGCAAGATTAGCCCTGAGCTAACATCTCTTGCCAATCCTTCTCTTTTTGCTGAGGAAGATTTTCCCTGGGCTAACATCCATGCCCATCTTCGTCTACTTGATACGGGGAATGCCTGCCACAGCATGGCTTGGTAAGTGATGCATAGGTTGGCGCCCGGGATCTGAACCTGCGAACCCCAGGCTGCCGAAGCAGAGCACGTGAACTTAACCACTACACCACTGGGCCGGCCCCTTGATCTGTGTCATATTTTTGTGTGTGGATGTCCAGTTGTTCTAGCACTGTTCGTTGAAGAGATCGTTTTTGCTGCATTGTATTGCCTTTGCTCCTTCATCAGAGATCAGTTGGCTGTATTTGTGTGGGTCTATTTCTGGGCTCTCTATTCTGTTCCATTGATCTATTTATCTGTTCTTTCACCAATACCACACTGTCTTGATACTAAAGCCATATAGGAAGTCTTGAAGTTGGGTAGCATCAGTCCTCCAACTTTGTTCTGCTTCAACGTTGTGTTGGCTATTCACACACAAACATATATCTCTTTTTTTATGCAAACACAGTTATACTATATACAATGTTCTGCTTTTGCTTTTTTTTTTTTTTTTTTTGTGAGGAGATCAGCCCTGTGCTAACATCCGCCAATCCTCCTCTTTTTTTGCCGAGGAAGACGGCCCTGGGCTAACATCCGTGCCCGTCCTCCTCCACTTTATATGGGACGCCGCCACAGCATGGCTTGCCAAAGCAGTGCGTCGGTGCGCGCCCGGGATCCGAACCAGCGAACCCCGGGCCGCCGCAGCGGAGCGCGCGCACTTAACCGCTTGCGCCACCGGGCCGGCCCCGCTGCTTTTGCTTTTTCACTTAAAAAAATAATGGTCTGCACGTATTACCAGCAGGAAACTAATTCATTCTATTTAAAAGCTGCATGGTATTCCATTTTATGCTTTTATCATGTCACGTCTCTCAGGATTTTATTTTTTTTAATTACTTATTTTTGACATTTCCAAACATACCCAGAAGTAGAGAGAATGGTGTAATGAAGCTCATGTATTATCACCAAGCTTAAAGAATTTCCACATTTTGCTTCATCATGTTCCCTTTTGATGTTGTTAGAATTATGTCGTATCTTTCAAATGTTAGAAAAATTTAGACCAGGAGGTTAAGTATGTACATTTCAGTTTTCTTTTTTCTTCTCTTTTTATGAAAGGAACTGATTTGTGCTCATTTTCCTTTACTCTTATGATCCCAGCCTTTGTGTGTAGATGCTTGCTGTTGTAGCTCTTGTGTCCTGTTTTAGGCATAGTTTGTTTCCATGCAAAAAGTATGTTGGTATGTTGGTGTTTCTGTTGCCAGTTTGGAGGCAGAGCAAAAACTCTCATGGACTCAGGCAGGTCTACTCAACACAAAACAAATAGCAGGAGATGGAAATTGAAACTTTTTTGGGGGGGAGGCTTAACTACCAGAGTTGTGGGGGTGAGGCGGGGTGCCACACCCCCAAATGCTCCCAGGGGTCAGAATCCCGACTGGGGCTTCCCTGTGGGCTGGTTGTATCTTGGGTGGTGTCCTGAGCTCTGTTCCCTGGGGGTCTGGGGGAGACAACGATCCCAGCTCATCTTACTCTTCCACTTTCCAATCTGCCTTCCAACACATAACCTCACCTGTGAGAGAAAGGCTCACAGATTTGCCCATCCCCACCCCCACCCACCTGCCTGCCGGCTTCAGGAGAACAAAGCTCTTGCTCTAACAGATAGAGTACAAACTTGGGGACATCATGAATGGTTGAGGCTGTAAGAGTAACAGATATAGCCACAAACTGACTTTCTGCAATAAATTTATTGATGCTAAAATAAATTTTCCAGATAATTTAGGACACATTTAATAGGAATATACAATTTAAGTAGCTAATTCTTCTTTCTTTTCTCTAAGTACTTGGTGATGGATGTGCAGCTCATGGTGGGAGGGCGGCATCATCATTCTGACCTGGACCCTGAAGAGTACGTTTTTGCAGCCCTGAACATCTACGTGGACATAATCAACCTTTTCCTTTTTATTTTGCAACTGATTGAACTGGCACGGTAGTCAAATGGCCGAGGCTGGCTGGTGTCGTGAGGGAAGCAAGGACGTTTGGGAAGTGTCACCAGGCTCTGACATGCAGAGGTTACCACTGCATAAGCCCTCTTATTTTAAAACATATTTTAAAATACTTATTTGTTTTGTCAAATGAAACCAAGCATTCAGTAGGTGGTAGCTGTAGCTGTTATATTTTTAGTTCCATTGTCACATTGCAAAACTTTCTGGGGGACGTTTCTGATTTTTATAAATTCAAAAGATGAGTATCATAATTACATACTTAAAAACATTTGTAAGATGCCCATTACTTGGTTGAAGTTTTCCAGGAACTCTTTAAAGCTGTAAACAACATCTCTCTACATGAATAAAATTGATTACAGAAACCTATATTTACTCCTTTCTCTTCTCTTGATTTGGACGTTCTGTGGGAATATTTTGGCACCCGACTATTTTTTAAGAGTAAGATAAACCAGGAGAGAAATCAAGATGGCAGCGTAGGCGGACTCTGAACTCACCTCCTCCCGCAGACACAGCCAATTTACAACTACTCATGGAAAAATTACCCCAGAGAGAGAACTGAAAACTGGATAAGAGGAACTCCTGCAACAAAGGACAATCCTAATCGAGGTGGAAGAGGCAGAAACTCCCTTCTGGAGAGAAAAAA